AATGATAAAGAATGCTAATATAGATATAAAATCGATATTTTTTTTGAAAACAGCCTACTTTGATCGAAACCAAAAATGCTTTAAATTGCATTCTAAAACATATCTAGGTATGATAAATGATAAAAAATGCTAGTATAGATATAAAATCGAAATTTTTTTGAAAATAGCCTACAATGATCGAAACCAAAAATGCTTTAAATTGCATTCTAAAACATATCTAGGTATGATAAATGATAAAGAATGCTAGTATAGATATAAAATCGAAATTTTTTTTTGAAAACAGCCTGCTTTGATCGAAACCAAAAATGCTTTAAATTGCATTTTAAAACATATCTAGGTATGATAAATGATAAAGAATGCTAATATAGATATAAAATCGATATTTTTTTTGAAAACAGCCTACTTTGATCGAAACCAAAAATGCTTTAAATTGCATTTTAAAACATATCTAGGTATGATAAATGATAAAGAATGCTAATAAAGATATAAAATCGAAATTTTTTTGAAAATAGCCTGCTTTGATCGAAACCAAAAATGCTTTAAATTTCATTTTAAAACATATCTAGGTATGATAAATGATAAAGAATGCTAATATAGATATAAAATCGATATTTTTTTTGAAAACAGCCTACTTTGATCGAAACCAAAAATGCTTTAAATTGCATTTTAAAACATATCTAGGTATGATAAATGATAAAGAATGCTAATATAGATATAAAATCGAAATTTTTTTGAAAATAGCCTACTATGATCGAAACCAAAAATGCTTTAAATTGCATTTTAAAACATATCTAGGTATGATAAATGATAAAGAATGCTAATATAGATATAAAATCGAATTTTTTTTGAAAATAGCCTACTATGATCGAAACCAAAAATGCTATAAATTGCATTTTAAAACATATCTAGGTATGATAAATGATAAAGAATGCTAATATAGATATAAAATCGATATTTTTTTTGAAAACAGCCTACTTTGATCGAAACCAAAAATGCTTTAAATTGCATTTTAAAACATATCTAGGTATGATAAATGATAAAGAATGCTAATATAGATATAAAATCGAAATTTTTTTGAAAATAGCCTACTATGATCGAAACCAAAAATGCTTTAAATTGCATTTTAAAACATATCTAGGTATGATAAATGATAAAGAATGCTAATATAGATATAAAATCGAATTTTTTTTGAAAATAGCCTACTATGATCGAAACCAAAAATGCTATAAATTGCATTTTAAAACATATCTAGGTATGATAAATGATTAAGAATGCTAATATAGATATAAAATCGATATTTTTTTTTGAAAGCAGCCTACTTTGATCGAAACCAAAAATGCTTTAAATTGCATTTTAAAACATATCTAGGTATGATAAATGATAAAGAATGCTAATATAGATATAAAATCGAAATTTTTTTGAAAATAGCCTACTATGATCGAAACCAAAAATGCTTTAAATTGCATTTTAAAACATATCTAGGTATGATAAATGATAAAGAATGCTAATATAGATATAAAATCGAATTTTTTTTGAAAATAGCCTACTATGATCGAAACCAAAAATGCTATAAATTGCATTTTAAAACATATCTAGGTATGATAAATGATAAAGAATGCTAATATAGATATAAAATCGATATTTTTTTTGAAAACAGCCTACTTTGATCGAAACCAAAAATGCTTTAAATTGCATTTTAAAACATATCTAGGTATGATAAATGATAAAGAATGCTAATATAGATATAAAATCGAAATTTTTTTGAAAATAGCCTACTATGATCGAAACCAAAAATGCTTTAAATTGCATTTTAAAACATATCTAGGTATGATAAATGATAAAGAATGCTAATATAGATATAAAATCGAATTTTTTTTGAAAATAGCCTACTATGATCGAAACCAAAAATGCTATAAATTGCATTTTAAAACATATCTAGGTATGATAAATGATTAAGAATGCTAATATAGATATAAAATCGATATTTTTTTTTGAAAGCAGCCTACTATGATCGAAACCAAAAATGCTTTAAATTGCATTTTAAAACATATCTAGGTATGATAAATGATAAAGAATGCTAATATAGATATAAAATCGATATTTTTTTTGAAAACAGCCTACTTTGATCGAAACCAAAAATGCTTTAAATTGCATTTTAAAACATATCTAGGTATGATAAATGATAAAGAATGCTAATATAGATATAAAATCGATTTTTTTTTGAAAACAGCCTACTTTGATCGAAACCAAAAATGCTTTAAATTGCATTTTAAAACATATCTAGGTATGATAAATGATAAAGAATGCTAATATAGATATAATATCGATATTATTTTTGAAAACAGCCTACTTTGATCGAAACCAAAAATGCTTTAAATTGCATTTTAAAACATATCTAGGTATGATAAATGATAAAGAATGCTAATATAGATATAAAATCGATATTTTTTTTGAAAACAGCCTACTTTGATCGAAACCAAAAATGCTTTAAATTGCATTTTAAAACATATCTAGGTATGATAAATGATAAAGAATGCTAGTATAGATATAAAATCGAAATTTTTTTTTGAAAACAGCCTACTTTGATCGAAACCAAAAATGCTTTAAATTGCATTCTAAAACATATCTAGGTATGATAAATGATAAAGAATGCTAATATAGATATAAAATCGATATTTTTTTTGAAAACAGCCTACTTTGATCGAAACCAAAAATGCTTTAAATTGCATTCTAAAACATATCTAGGTATGATAAATGATAAAAAATGCTAGTATAGATATAAAATCGAAATTTTTTTGAAAATAGCCTACAATGATCGAAACCAAAAATGCTTTAAATTGCATTCTAAAACATATCTAGGTATGATAAATGATAAAGAATGCTAGTATAGATATAAAATCGAAATTTTTTTTTGAAAACAGCCTGCTTTGATCGAAACCAAAAATGCTTTAAATTGCATTTTAAAACATATCTAGGTATGATAAATGATAAAGAAAGCTAATATAGATATAAAATCGAAATTTTTTTGAAAACAGCCTGCTTTGATCGAAACCAAAAATGCTTTAAATTGCATTTTAAAACATATCTAGGTATGATAAATGATAAAGAATGCTAATATAGATATAAAATCGATATTATTTTTGAAAACAGCCTACTTTGATCGAAACCAAAAATGCTTTAAATTGCATTTTAAAACATATCTAGGTATGATAAATGATAAAGAATGCTAGTATAGATATAAAATCGAAATTTTTTTTTGAAAACAGCCTACTTTGATCGAAACCAAAAATGCTTTAAATTGCATTTTAAAACATATCTAGGTATGATAAATGATAAAGAATGCTAATATAGATATAAAATCGAATTTTTTTTGAAAATAGCCTGCTTTGATCGAAACCAAAAATGCTTTAAATTGCATTTTAAAACATATCTAGGTATGATAAATGATAAAGAATGCTAATAAAGATATAAAATCGATTTTTTTTTGAAAACAGCCTACTTTGATCGAAACCAAAAATGCTATAAATTGCATTCTAAAACATATCTAGGTATTATAAATGATAAAGAATGCTAATAAAGATATAAAATCGATATTATTTTTGAAAACAGCCTACTATGATCGAAACCAAAAATGCTATAAATTGCATTCTAAAACATATCTAGGTATTATAAATGATAAAGAATGCTAGTATAGATATAAAATCGAAATTTTTTTGAAAATAGCCTACTTTGATCGAAACCAAAAATGCTATAAATTGCATTTTAAAACATATCTAGGTATTATAAATGATAAAGAATGCTAATATAGATATAAAATCGATATTATTTTTGAAAACAGCCTACTATGATCGAAACCAAAAATGCTTTAAATTGCATTTTAAAACATATCTAGGTATGATAAATGATAAAGAATGCTAGTATAGATAAAAACGTTAAAATCTTTAAAAAACACGCTTTTATCAAAAAGACTAAAAATCAAAAACTCAAAAATAAAATAATATCACACTTTTAGCAAATCAGGATTTTAAAAGTTTTCTTGTGATACTAGAAATGTAACTTAAATTTTTTTTTAAATATTGTGATTAAGTCCAAGAACACAATGACTCTAATGATAATAATGTGTGAAGGGCCCAGCCTTTCATCTGGAGGCACTGCGATTCAAATTAGAACAGAATCCATTGTACCACACCCTTTAGACCTACAGTTTATAGTGGGATCCGAACTACTTGCAAGTTCTGTACATTGCAAAGACACGAGTACGTCATAAGACCTGATGTTCCCTTCAATGTACCTAGTCACAATTCGTGTGCGCAAGATGCCGTAAGGAAGTCATCCAGATGCTAGTATATCCTTGTATTCCTAGCAATGGAGGCATATTCTGTGCCAAAGACCTCAAAACTACACCCAACACACGAACCGAGCTTCGTAACTAGAACGGTGAAATGGAAAAAGAGCTTCGAAAATTAGACATGGGCTGGGATTGAACCCAGTACCTTTGGCACAGAAGGCCAACGCTCTACCATTTAGGCCACTGATGCCATTTCACCGTTACACAATGACTCTAAAAGCGTGGCAAAATTGTAACCAACCAACAGAGCAACTCAATAAAAATCGTGTAATAAAAATAGGACCCGGCACAGTCGAAGAGGTGTTAAATGGCGAACGGAACTAAAGGTACGAACTAGAAAAATGGAAAATTCAATTTTACATGACAAATTTACGCAATGCACGCATTACATCTAGTCTTGCATTCGTTACTTACGAGAACAAGCACATCCAAACCAGAGAAGAAAGTTTACAAGACAGCCAAAATATTCAATAAAATTCAAAACTGTTAAAGTACGAACATAGCTAGTGGAGGAGTGATGAACCTCGCGGACAAAAAAATTCACACAGAGATATGACAAGCAATTGCTATCAAGACATCCTATTCAACCACAATAATAATAATAATAATAATAATAATAATAATAATTTAAGGATTCATGCAAAAGAATAGTTCATACGAATATACTTACTTCTTCAGAGTAGTAATGGCATCTTCCATTTAACCTTGTTGATGGTATGTACTCGACAATATCAAGTTCAGAACAAACAGGCAATAAAATTGCAATGCCAATAAATCCTGACGATGGAATATTTTTTACAATTGGTGTCGTTGCAAAATCTTGCAAAATTTTCCACAAGTGCCATAATGATCTAGGGTCGATAAGATGTACATCAGCTTTTGGATTATTGATCATAAACTTTTCATAGTTTGTAAATAAATCAAAATCTGGAGCCTTTAGCCAATCACGAAGCGTTGCATTCATAGCTGGTAAAGGAAACATATTTAATAAATCTTTAGAAACAAGTTTTAAACTTTAAAAATTAAAGGTTGAAAAAATTTCCAAATATTGAAAACCATACAAATCAGTTCAAGTTGTAAGGTTTTGAAATGTTGAAAATCCAAAATTCGATTAAAATGAATAATGAACAACCTGCTGGATCCCAAGCTGCGATAGAAACATTTCTGAAAATTGGCGAATTCAGGAAATCAAACTCAGGCTTGCTAACAACCTAAAACGTAAATCCATAAATCATTTAAAATAAGAGTTCTTTAAAATCTCAAATCGTGTCCTAAACTTACTTGAGAATTAACAATTCTGATTGTGGTTTTACTTCCAACATCCGATTCAAAGTTTGCTGTCGGTGCATGGTTGAACCTCATAACGATGTCATGAGAATCTTAAATTAAAATAAAAATAAATCTAATTTAATTTAAGAGAACAACTAAAATGCATTAAATCCAAAAGCTACCAATGAATTTTCCCAGATTTGATGATGCCAAGCTTCCTGCACTTGAAACAATCACGCAAGTCTTTCCGCGCATTTTTTGGAACAGCTTCTTCTTTGGAAATAATTCACCCAACTTGTGCTTATTGAATGGCTTGTCTTTCCGTCTCAACATCTTGACCTTATTTTTGAGTAGCATTGAAATTGTTGGAATGTCTTTGTCAATTTTCTGTCCTGTATACTGAACATTATATGTATTATCAGTTCCAGTTGGAGACATACTCTTTCTCAACTCAGACACAACTTTGTTCTTAAATTCTGATGTCTTATTCTTGCATTCGAATTCAGTTTTATTAAAGTTACATCTGTACAAGTTTGAAGCAATTGGAGTTAAGTCTGATGTTTTAGAGAAGGATAATCGAGGATTTTTGCTTTTAACTGATGGCTTCTCTACACTCGATATTTTCTCACTAATCGTTTGTTTCATTGAGAAGGCACTTCGCTTTTGTATCCGTGATGCTAGGTTATATAAAGAAGACATACATGTGTTAAGGCATTGCTAAGAAAATAAATTTGAATGGTTATTGAAGGAGATAGATTTGACATGAGATGATAAACTAAATTTTCAGTTAAACCAAGGACATGCTGTATTGTAAATCTACATTATAAAATCCCAATTCACTGACTCACTTACTCTAGAACGGAAGCCGTGTGAAGCCAATGATTTGGGCGGTGTTGATGAGGTGGGTGTCAAGTGGGGAGTGGTAGAGGGTTTGACATGGTGGGTGAGGGTGACATGGTGGGTTGCGGGGGGATTAAAGTTTTTGTGGGATTAAGGGGGTGGATATAAGTAGGATATAGAAATACTTTTGTTGATTGACGTCATTAGTGAATGATACCTTACCCTAATAGACAATTGAGCATACTCATGGTACCGTTACATACTCAAGACCTTATTAGAACATTCCTTATTTGAGTATGTTACGGTACCATGAGTATACTCATTTGTCTGTTAGTTTTAGTCTCAAAATAACAGCTGAAATTCTTTAATTTCAAGAATTAAACCTTATCAATAAATTACAACACTCACCATTACAATATATTGATGTGATCATCATAAAAAATAATAATGAATATCTATGGAACAGCATCATTCTTCAAATGATGAATATTGCCGGTAAATATATTCAAGGATGTAATTAAATTTAATCCTTTTTTAATGAGTCTACTAAGCAAAAGATGTCGCTAGTTAATAGTTTTTTATTTTACCCCCTAGATGTCGCTAGCTGCTGTAATTTTCTTTTTTTAAACTTTCCTTTATTCTCAACGAATTTTTCACTTCACTTATTTTAACATCACAAGCGCACTACAGCGATGAAAAGAAAAATCAGCAGCAACAGCGATGAACGGAATGAATGTTAAGTTACTTCCTTCTGCAAATAAAGCACCGATAAAAATGAGTATGAAAAGTTTTTTACGACTGCAATATATACCGAATAAATCGAAAGCGAACTCACAAAAAGGAATGGAATTGTGACAACGATTGCCGATGACAAAGACACTCAACTCAAAGTGAGAGAGGGAAGTAAAGTGAAGGGAAGAAAGAAAACATGAAAATCACACCGAATAAAGGAGAAGAAAGAAGCATAATGAGAAGGAAAATAGTTCAATGAATTTATCAGAGCGCAGCGATCTCCTTTACTCGTTAACCACTCGACACCCCTTTTTTTCTCATTTACAACAATAGTCATCATTATCTCCTTAATATTTAGCATATTTTTGCTAGATAATTTTTATAAATTTATTCATTTCCTGTTCTTGATGGTTTGTGGTAGCTCAAATAATGATCAGGAAGCAATCATTTGAGTTTTATAATTAGACCTTCAGCAGTTTGTCATTTTTTAAGTTGGTTTCGAAGTTTTGCTGATTTCTTAAAGCTTCCACAGATTATAATCTCCATACAAACATGTTCATTCAAAAATGGTCATAAATGCGCTCTAATTCAGATCGAGATCAGATAGTGCAATGCTGCCTTAATGTTTCCAAGACTTTTTGCTATTTTCCTTATTCTGAATATAAAAAAAATCTCATCTAAAAATAGAAAGAAAGACAAAGAAATATTATTCTATGTAAGGAGGAAATTGAAGCAGAAAATTTAATGCATAGACTCAAGATACATTTCCCTCATTCTATTCTTTGTTATTGCTTTTTGAACCTCTTCTTGAAATTTTTTCAACTTCATTTACAACGAAAAGTTTAAATGGACATAATCAGTTGCAAGAAATCTTCTTAATGAGTTTCGAGAGCTCATTTTTAGATCAATAACTCGTTAAGAGTATATAAAGAAATAACTGGCATAGAAGAGTTTCGAATTATGGTGTAATTCGTTTGTATAAAACAGTTTGATAGCTTTTACTGTCGAGAATGCTAATAACAGGGTCGTATTGGTTCGTTTGTAGCTTTTTGAAGAACTGCTTACTTGGTAGGTGCATTGCTTTTTACATATTTTAATTTTTTGTGTTGTTCCGGGAAATCGAGTGATGTCAATGTTTGAGAAAAACTGGTTTGGAGGGATTCTCTTTTGACACCAAGACTCCCGCAGATTGTATTCTTTTGAAAAGAAGATTATAATCTTTATATGAAAGATCATTGTTGTAATATTGTTGAAAGATCTCAAAAATCATTGAAAAAGAATATGAATTAATGTTAAGTTTAGAAACACGACTCGACAATATAACAATTATCAAAGATTACAATCCTCGTATGAATATTATGAAAGATTATAATCTTCTAATAATAATAATCGGCCTCGTCACAAAAAAATTGTACGTGAGTGACGCTTTGTTATTCTTGATTATCTCCTTATTCTTAAAAGTGACAAATTTAAGAGCTACTTTTTTGAAAAGAGAATTAAAATCTCCATCAATTGTTGTACAATTCACTTCATGAAAGTTTACTGTTACTTGAAAAAATCACTTTAACTAAGCGTCACTCACGTACAATTTTTGGGAATTTTGCTATATCTTCATTATTATTTATTGATATATCTCCAAATGTATTTTTTTAGGTCCGAAATTCAATTCTGTTCTTTTTGAGTTTATAAAAAATTTAAAATTGCTGCATTAACATACCCAAATGGACAAAATTAAGTTAAAATTTTTTTAACCGTTTTAACTTTTTGAATTTTTTCGGCTGTATTTTGTTTGTTTACAAACAAAATCGAAAATGAAATTAGAAAAGTCACTCAATAATGATGTAAAACCTCTTAAAATAGTCGGAACAGCTAATGCATCATCTACTTTTCCTATTCAAATCATAATATTTTGGATTAATGATTGAATAATTAAGAATTTTAAGAATTTAATTTTTGATGTTTTGCATGATAGTGTTAGTGAAAAATTCAAATTATTTTTTTCCGTTGCGCAAAAATCCTTAAAAAAACCGTAGCCAGAACATTTTTAAAGCAGATTTTTAAATAAAAAGTAGAGTAGATTTTTTTCTTGCTCCATAGAAGTAGTTTCTAGATTTCAGTATGTCTTTAGTTTGATCTTTCCTATAAAAAAAAATTGAATCTTAAAAATAACAAAACCAGTGGATGATTCCCCTGAAAAATAAAGTCATAAAAAATTGTAATCATAATTAAAACAACTCATTTTTTATTTTTTGTCTAACATTTTAATTTTGCTCTGTTTTTAATCGAACCAACACATTACATATTTTTCTTTAGTTATATATTTTTTTGTTACTTTTTCATTAGTTTTTTTTCCTCTGTGAAATAATTTTATTTATTTTTTTCATCTCATCATTAATTATTTACTTTTGTGTGTTAATTTTCTCCTTTTTTTCATTTTTTTAAAAGTAGTCTTTTCTATATAGAATTTTCCTTCTTTATCATCTTTTTTTTTTATTAAATTTATTAATATTAATAATGGGTTCTCTTCTTCAACCTCACATTATTTTTTTTTCTTTGTGTGTGTGTATGCGTGTGTATGCCTTATTTTCAATAACTTCATAATAATAATTTTATTTATTTATTTATTACCCATCGCATGATTCGCAATTATTAATTTAATTAACATTTTTTTCTTCTTCCTTTTTTTCCTTCTAAACATTTTTTTTTCTTAAGAAAAAAAGAGATTTTATGCGCTTAATTTTCTGCCATTCAATATTTATTAAGATTTTTTTTCTTCTTAATTTACGCATTTTTTTAATAATTATTTTAAACTCATTCACACCCTTAAAATATATGTAATGTTCATGATTAGATTTTTTTTTCATTTATTAATATTTTTTTTTTCATTATCTGTTTTCGGAATAAACTTCACTTATTAACTGTAGATGCGACTTATGTGAAGGATTTTTTTTTGGCTAGTTGGGGTTCTTGATCTCTATTCTTTAGTCATAACATCTTTGACTGACTTGTTCTCTTAACTTACAAATTTGAAATTTTTTATGAAATTTGATAGAATTGAAATCCAGTAAAAGTTGCTACAAAATGTCTACTTTCTTTATAGAAATCAAAGGACATATTCTATTATATCAAGACTTGCCAAATTTAGCAAGTAATCATTTTAAGTCAAAGGTCCAATAGAGAAGCAGTCAAGTTAATTAAAAAAACTAAAGAATGCAGAATAGAATCCCACTCCAAAACTGTACTAAATGCAGCAGTATTTCCTGGTTAATTATTCTAAAAGAATCTGAAATTTCAGAAGTAATACTGCATTTGGTAAAGCTCATCATGTTTATTTTAAATATTAATGTATGTGCTTTTCATTTGGCATAAATGTTTCTCATCATTTCTATTGGCAAATTTTTTAATTTGTTTTACTTTCTCTATTAAAAAACTATTTTTTTAAAGATTTTTTTTCATTCAAAATTAAAATTTCTTTTTTCATCTTCTTTAAATATGTTATTCTAATTTTTTTTATTTTTTTTTCTTTCTTCGTAACTTCAATTAACAGTTTTACATTCATACAATGTAAATGTATTTGTCTGTGTATGCATGTGTGTGTGTTTATGGTGTGTATACATGAGCTTCAAGAGACACGGAATTTCGGTATTATGGCCTATTGTTCATAATGTCTTACAATCTTGATTAATCTAGTTATAATAACTTGATGGAGCTAGCTGTGAGGAAGAATTTTATTGATTTGAAGAACTTTTTCAATATATTGTATTACTGCTACATCTTTGCATACATCAGGGACTTTGTTCATAAATGATGTCCAACATTAAGATAGAGTTGAATTAATTGGACATCACTCTCCAGAAAATTGACATTTTAATACTAATGTAGGACTAAAACGTTCTTAAAACCTTGCAAAAAATTGTCAATTAATAATCTTCATGTAACCTCAATTAATCCTCAGTGAAATTCCGTTTCTCTCATTCGATTCCTCCTTTTGACTTTCAATTAATTAATTAGTTTTTTTTCCCTTATGTTTCAGTTATGCTGTAATAAATTATTTCTCATTCCTTGTTTATCAT